AGTTCCATTTGTAGTTCTATTTTTCGTAAGAAGTCTTTCTGATAAATATTTATTTACTCCTTTTTATTCCATTGTGTCATATTGCAATATAATAAATTTTACTATAAATATAGGAAAGAAAAATGCCTACATTATTAATTATTTTCTTTATTTATTCTTCTATTAGTTTAGAAAGAATTAATGCATGTCAACCGAATAAATATCCTTTTTTATTCAACCTTTATATCCTTTATTATTGAAGTAAAAAAAGTTAAGGATAAGAAAAATTTTGATAAATTAAAATATTATAAAATATGTATCACGATGAATGTACTTTTGTCTTCATAACACATGACATCTTTTAAATATTTAACACCTAAACATTTCATAGAATTAAATTAAAACAAATAATCGAACAATTACTGCGAAACATATTCATAAATTCCATTGAAAATGTTAAAAGAAACGATAAACTCGTCATTCAAACTTGTAGTTTAACTTTTTATCGTAGTTTGACTCTTAACTATTAGGATGAAAGTGCTGCCATTTTGGTGAATTTTGAAGAAGAAAAAAATGCGTCGCTTTTTTAAACGCTCTAGCATTAAAGAAAAAGCTTTTGTGATTGAAACTATAAAGCACATTAATAAGTTTATTGTTGTTGGGTTTTTGCTCTTTTTTTTCTTCTTTTTTTTCAACTCAACTATTGTTTTGTGAATTTAAAGTAGTTTTTCGTGATTAATCAAAGTATTTGGAAAATTTCTGCTAATTATTTAGTAATAACAAACTTTTTAGTCCATAAAACTAAGAATATAGCCCTTTTTTAATTAATATTTTAACTAATTTAATTTTCTTCCGCTTTTAATTTGCTTTGTTTGACGAATCGCTTTTATTTCTTTTCTTTATCGTCTGCGTTTTAAGTTTTAGAATTATCTATGTGAATAGTAATAATAGGAAATTAATATTAAAAAGTTCATAGAATTTCACGAAAAACTGAAAAATAATACAGTTAGACTCAAAGAAATTTTGAAAAGGTATAAAAAAAAGTATTTGCAGTAAATTCAATCTTAAAGATTTTTACGAGGAAGAATGAATTTGCAGCAAAAAGGAAATGTCTTCTATATATCTACAAACTGAACGTGAGTACTGATATAATCTCTCCATTTCTAAATAAACTATTTTGAAAGTTTTTAAAAAGTATGATGTAAACAAAAATTATATGTATGAAAATTTATATAATAAAATATTATAGGAATAGGTCAAAACATAATCAGCGATAATCAAATTTTAAATTGCTTTTTTATAATGTTTATTAACTATTTCAGAGACATAAAGTTTATCTTAAATCTCAGAAAAGTGTGTTTTAAAAGCAAATAGCAAGCACAAAATATTTTTTAACAGAAAAAAACGAGCATTACAATAAATGACATTTAAATTTTACTGTTACGTTATCGCGCACTTCCATAAAAGTCGATTGACTTTCTTGTGACAAGGTTTTTATTCGATTTAAAAAATACTGCGATGATAAGTTTAAAAAAATATGCCTTTAGCTTGAAATTAAATACCAATTTAATTACCAAAAAAAAAACACTTTTAAATCTCTAATTTAATTCTATTCAGCCGTGATTTTATTTCTGATTCAACTTTAAAACATTAAAGAATTTTGTAACCATCATGTTCGTAAAACAAGCGTGGAATGCATAATACATAAGAAAACAAGGAAAGAAAAAGAAAAGGGAAGAAAGATTAGATGTATTCTCTTCATCAGCTTATACTATTAAATCAGCAAAAATAGTGCTTTCAAATATTGTATCAATATAGCCAAAGCAAAATTTATTAATTAAAAATGTTTGGAGCACCAAAGGAAAAGAAAGAAAGAGACCGATTAGCAAACAAAATGTTAATAAGTAAAAATATCACAAAAATTCTAGAAAATTTCAAAATAAAACACGATTAGGAACACATAAAACGAGTGGGAAGAAATGTTATTATGTGCTTCTAAATAATTCGCAAAAATGATTTAAAAATATTTTCGCAACTAAGTTGCAAGATTGAAAAATATGAAATCAAAGCGTACATGGATGGTAGTGGGATATATTTTTCAGACACGTTCATACTGAAGTTAAGAAACGCTTTTGATGCGTTTGTTACCTTGGATTGGCCCGAATACTCGATTTGTGCAAAATAATGTATTATACTGGACAATTCAAAATTCATTATTAATAATATAATTAATAATATAATTAATAATGTAATGAATGATATGATTAATGCAAAATTTATAATTTATAATAAATACAACATTTTAACTCGATGATTTTAATAGAAATAGTTAACATTATTGAAAAATGCTAATTATTTAATTGAATAACGGAAGAGATTGTTGTTCAGTTACGCAGAGGTTTATGTTGCTAGGCACGAATTTGCCTGAATTGGATTTGCATATGATTAAAATATTAATCTAGATAGCTTAAAGACTCTTAAGCAAGAATACTCCTTTATTAATTTTAATACACAATAAGCACAATTATTTCGTATAGAACTAATTTGATTACATTTGTAAGATATCAGCTGTCCTTCATCAAATTTAAGCTTAGTTATTTGCTTTTTTTTCTTCAAATTTTTTTAATTCAATTTTATTGATCAAAAAGAGTACTTAAATAAATGTTTTTAGAAACATTACAATTCCATGCAATTAGTTTCTTTATAACAAGCTTAAAATCAATCCTTTAATCTTATATGTCAACAAAGCAGATATTTTTTTTCTTTTTTGATACAGAAAATGAAAATTAATATTATCATTATGATTATGGATCAGCATTAATTCAACAGGACAAATATTGATAATCTTTACAAAATTATATAATTTTGAAAATTAAAGAAAAATTATCAATAAATCTAATAAAAAAAATTGATATTTTCAATATTGTGTAACAATAAGTTAGCCGGACACGCATTCATTAGAATTTCAAAGTAATTAAGTTCGCAATTACGGACATTTTTATAATCATAGCAAAATCTCAAAAGATCGTCTTTTAGTTTTGAAAGTGGAAGGCTATTAAAGAGATACTGGTTAAATCAAATGTCAAAACTATTGAAGGGACAATTGTTTTCTTCTCAATAAAAAAAAAAACTATCAAAGTAAATAAAACCAAACGCAGACGAAATATCATCTGATATAAAACCAATATATACGCAAGCAAAAAAGGTCCAATCTGTTTCTTAAATAAGAAAACTGGACACTTGTACAGCATAGCACCTGACCAACACTCTGTCAGTCAGAGAAAAACACGACTAATCGGGTGTATGATCACCTCTTACAGCTAGACAAACCACGCATCGGCGTTTCATATGGTTTACTAGGGTTCTTATCAATCGATACTCATAAAACACGACCTCAACTGGTCCTCAAGCTGAAACTGCGCGTCTAAGGACTTCCCATACATGTTCGATGACATTAAGGTCAAGGAATATCGCAAGCCACTCCAATCGTTGAATAACTTCCGACTGGAGGTATTAGTTCACCAAATGAGCTCTGTGTGAACGCACGTTATCGTCCATATGCTTCACATTGGTACATATGCTCCAAGGAAAAGTCTTACATTGGATGCAAGGATCTCGTCCCTATAACCCTGACCTATCAGAGTACCTCTATCAAACACACGAAGGTCAATATGCCCCGTTTCCCATAATGCTTGCTCAAACCACCAGAACATTTCGACCATAGTGGTCCTTTTCAACAAAATCAGACGACCGATTTCGACACCCGAATTCTCCCCTGATGAGAGCACGTATCGAGTCATTGCCCAGAATGACTCATCTTCAAAAAGAATTCAACATGAAACATTCCTCGTCAAAGTGTTCTCAACATCATTCTAGAGGGTCTTTTTTGTAATTCAAAATCAAAGGGATGCAGACTACAGGGCTCCTGACATACAGGCTACCTCCATTAAGTTTCTGGCGACTGCTATCCGTGAAACGGATGTTCCTGTTGCAATATACAGATTGCGAGACAGTTGCGTCATTATTACGGACCTGCCCCATTGGTTAGAAGTCTCAAATAATGGTCCTGAGCTAGCTTTATTGTCCTTTTGTGGAGTTGACCAGATCTATGGACCACTGTTCTTGTCTCTGTGAACTGGTTTCTATATTTATCCCTACAACAGGTAACCTGCGGTTGGGCCTCCTCGAGTCTTTCAACTATGAGTCTTTCATCGGTTGTATGGCATCGTCTAATAGCCCATAAGGCAAAATTGTTTTGCATAAAAGCGTGTAATAATTTTCTATCTATAGTCTTGAATCAAAATTATCGACGATGTCTAAAATATTAATTTTAATTCAATTAAAATCATGTATTTTAAATTTATTGAACTCTAGATAATTTATAAATTTATTACTGTTAATATCTGCAAGTTTTATGTACATGCAGGTTATGCGCATTTAGTAACACTTAATAAATTTTAAATTCTTAACTTTTCTTTGCGATATATATATATATAAAATTTTTCATCTCATTGCCAACACACCCTTCCCTAACCACAGTAGTGGTAAAGAGAAGAAGAGTGTAAATTCCCGTTTCTAAAACCTCTGCTACTCTGCCCTTTAATGTTGCTTTTTCCTTCATACACAGGGACCACACCAAGCCATGGGACACCGGTTTGCATTATGCCTATCGAAGTCAGCGTTCTTCCCCTGTGTATAGTGTGGCTTTCAGGAGAACTCCTCTATGCATCAGTCTCACGTCGTGGCAGGTACCATGGTAACGAGGAAAAGTCACTCCGAATAGGCGTGTGGGGTGAGTAGTTTTGTCATAGTATCTTGGCATAGATGTGCATGAGTAAACCAATCGACACCTTCATTCTTCCGTGGCACCCCCATTAGAAATGTGCACTCGCTTGTTACCATATCAGCAGACAGCCCCAAACTTTTAGTCTGGAGGAGTTCTCCTCAAAGCTATACTATATATTCTTTGCCTTGACCATGTTTATCAAATTTGCTAATGGAGATTATGAATAAACACTTACCCTAACTCTAGCTTCTGTTAGGTTAGTCCACATCGCTATTTCTTCTCGCGTGGACATATCTGGATACCTATTTCTCGCAAACGTTGCCTCCAGTTCCTGAAGTTGTTGACTCGTGAAATGGGTTCTTTGTCTTCTTTGTCTCTTCTTTTTCTTTGGGTCACCATCATCACCACCTGAATTCTCTCCACTTTCGCCGCCAGCGTCCGCATTGCCGCCTCCTCTGATTTTATCGCCGGACGGGTGATGATGATGATTGGTATCCGCTGTTGACAAAAATTAAAAAATAAATAAATAACGCATAGATAAAGAGAATTTTATGATATGAAGCAATTTTTGAAGCTCAGTTTATGATTACGAACGTAATTACAGTTTTTCAATTCAATTCTCAGGAACTATTCGATAGATTACGTCCAAATTTTCCATTTTGTCTTTTAAAATTACATTATTTAAAATAATATAAAAATTTTTATACTTTGCAATTAAAAATTGTTTTGACTATATCGTTTTAAATATCGTCTACGCTGATTAATTATCATGCTTGAAGTCACTCCGTAGAACACTCCGTGGTTGAGTACTAGCATTCGATTTCGATCATTAGCGGGGGGGGGGATTAATATTTATTCACTTTTTTTGCACACTCTGCATTTAATCTTGTTATATTTTGAAAATAATTAGTCTTCTTTATTAAATCTTTCATTTTCACTGTAACATATTGATGAGAAAAATATTACATCACTATTTAACAAAAAAATATTTTATAAATACTGAGAAAATTCTTTAAGTAATCAAAATTAGATATAAAAAACTAAAAATAAAAAATAATATTTTTAAAAACCACGTTTTTGTAGTGGAGAATAATAATTAAAAAAAATTTGAAAAACAAAAAACGTGGGGCGCATGAAATACATAACAGTAATGTTATATTAGTGTGTGTATGTGTGCTCTTGAGAATATGTGTATGTATATCTGTAATTGTAATTGTATCTGAATGTGGATGTGGAATATGTTTGTGTATATGCATATGTATGTGGATGTATATGTGGCTGTGCATGTGTATGAGTAAGAAAATGTGTATATGTATGTGTATATGTACTGTTATGTATTTCATGCGCCCCACGTTTTTCGTTTTTCAATTTTTTTTTAATTATTATTCTCCACTACAAAAACGTGGTTTTTAAAAATATTATTTTTTATTTTGAATTTTTTTATTTTAAATTATAATTTTTTTAATTTTTATTTTATATTTTTTAAAAATTATTACTTTTCAATTATTATTCTTCACTACAAAAAACGTGGTTTTTAAAAATATATATTTTTATTTAGATTATTTTTCTTAGTCAAGAGTAGTCAAGACTACTACAAGACCACTACTAAAATAATAGAACTTTCATTTTAAATTAGGGATACAAAAATCTTTATAGAAAAACAATACCTTTACGACTTTCATTAGTTTTATGCTGATGACAACCAAAACAATCTGGAAATGAATGAGGAAAAACTGGATCCTACCACGTGATTTTTCAGCCAATAAAAATACTCCGATAATAAAAATCTTTTCACCTGACATGTAATACTAATTTGAAATAATGGAATCGACAACAAAAGACAATCTCGAAAATAATATTTTTTTTTAAATTTTAATTTTATTTTACTTTGTATGTCTTTTTTCTCTTCATTTTCATGCATTGTCCTCCAATTCAGAACTATGTGCCAAATTTGAAGTTTGTAGCTAGTCGGGAAGTTAGTTTAAAACTGATTACAAAATTCCACCCGGACAGACATACACGAAGGCAAGTTTATATAAACGTGGTAAAAAAATAGTTATTAGTCATATACTTTTTAAAACACAATAGAATTATTTTGTTTATTCATTCTAGGAAATGTATTATTCGTGAGAGCATAAATACTTTTTAGTTGATGTGGCAATTTATTAATTTTAAAACACGTATTTCCATTAATAAATTATATTGATAAAATTAAAATTCCAGTTAATATATTAAGAATGTTAAAGCGAAAACCAAAGCAGTCTATACATCTCTATTATCAATCCAAATAAACGTTTTAAAGAATACCATTTTAAATAATGTGAGAGATAAAATGCTTTCTCGAATAAATTGACTGTAATTAGTGCTCTTATTTCTTTAATTATTGCTTTCTCCTAAAGCAATAATGACAATAGTTGGAATTTCTAAGCTTTTCACGGTGCTTCATTCATAATACCAAATGAATTTGCTGGCGTTTAATAAAATATGCCAAAGAATTTAACGGGCTATTAATAGTCAATTAAGAAACATAAAACTACACAGTAACAACTGTAAAGGGAAATAAATTAACAATCCTTTTAGAAAATTTTGAAAAGGGATATCTCTATACAGAATTAATGTAATATGAATGAAAATCATGATCTGTATTGTTACGTAATAGCTAATTAAATTATCATAAAAATTACGGTTTGACTTTTGTTAAATATTTATAATTTCTAGATATAAATATAACAATTTCTGAAATTTGAAAAGTTCTGTATATTTTATCCAATCTATTCTTAAAAAATTATATATTAATTTAAATATGATTAAAAGAATAAGAAAAATTGCAAAATGATAAAATTAATATGACTAGATAAATGATCTGTGCACAGTAAGAGAAATACAATAATGATCATAGTAGACCATAAAAAAATTGAATCGAACAGAATATTTCCTGATAATTTTTATTATAAACTTTTTTATCTTCTAAGCAAAAAAGAATGATAAGTTAAAAAGAAAAATAATAAATAGAATTAACTTCAGAGAAGGAAGTTAGACATCTTTTAAGACAAAAATATTTTTTGTTCACCATATTAATATTTTAAATAATTTATTCAAAAGCTCATTATATTATACAAAATTAATCTAAAATGGAGGGCATATATTGTTTATTTTTTTAAAGAATATAATTAAATAATAAACTTGTATTAAAGAGAAAATAAATGACGAGCTTATAAATAAAAATAATACTGATCTGATGCTTGTTAGAAGTATATATATAGGTGAGTAACTTATAACAAGTAATTCTATGTATGATAATTTTATTAGAGATTAGCTGTAGTATAACTTGCACCCTACATTACGTATTAATAATAAACATTTTGGTTGTGAAGTTATTCATAGAAATCTAGATTTATTCATTTCTATGAAATATAAAAAATAGAGTCAAGTAGAGGATATAGGTGAAATATTTAGCTTTTTTTTTCGTTGTCACGATATGAACTTTTTTAAGAAAAATTTATAATCACTCCAAAAATAAAAAATTGCTTTGAGATTAAAAAGTCAGCCATAAAAAGATCTTTAATTTATTATACGTTAAATAGAAGGTATGAAACTCTAACTAATTTCTATAAATGCAAGGACATTTAATAACATGTAAAATTAACGTCAAAAAATTATAGAAACATATTTTGAATCAAACAACATTGTGTCAATACCATTATTTTGATAACTACGATAACATTATCACGACAACAACAAAATATTGTAAAATTAAAATGACTAGCATTAGCCTTTTCCACTTGGTTTGAGTTTCCTTGGATTTGAAAGAACAAATTCAAATTGCTTGGTTGTACACTACTACTAGCATAAACTAATATAAATTAGATCGAAAATTTTTTTTTTTTTTAGAGTGAAGCATATTTTCTAAATAAATTATTAAAAAACAAATATTTCTCCTGAAATATTAAAAATATTTTTTTCAGCAAAAACCTTTTCTTTTTCTTTTAAAATTAGGATAACTTTTAAAAGGTTGCTTATAGTTTTTATTTTAAAACCAGCGTTGAACAACCGACTCAATTCTGAGTTTACAACCATCATTGTTCAACTCCGTAGCCTTGTAATTTCAAACTCAACTCAGAAGACACGGGAACTTCTGGATAGAGCATTGAACAACATTTGCGTTTCATGGAGAGGAAAGGCACAAAAACTTCTCACTGTTAGTCAGACAGTAAGGAGATTATAACCCATGATCCGTCTGTCATTGAGGATTTTTTTCTTCAGCACTGTGGTCTGTGCAAGCCGAGAGCAGAATTCATATCAATCAGCGAATGCTGCTAAAATATGTGATATTATAATTTTTCCGTTCACATGATTACGATTTACTGAGACTCTGGTTTTCAATTATGTATAATTATCAAATTATAGTTTTATAATATCAAATTATAGCTTTTATCACCCCACATTTAGTAATAAATGTAAAATTGGTAAGTAAACTTAACCAAATGAATGGTTTTTTATGCCATGCTCTAAGGTATAATGATAAAACTACCAAATTTCACCACATTGATCAAAATATATAACAGATTGTAAAACCGATTTGTTTTGTATTTCTAAATTCATTACCAAATAGCTTCTATAAAAATTATTGAGCTTTTTGGTGTTCTCGTCGAGCCAGCAACACGGTAAATTTTATCATATTATGGTAGTTTTACCATACTTTTTTACGGGTTTAAAAAAGTCATTCTTCTGAATAGTTTCAAGTTCTGAGAAAACCATATAAATAACATTTAAAAATTCTAAATGCATCACAAAACTATTAAGGACCCTTGTTTTTGTCAGAAAATGGTATTGATTTTTCATTAATTCTTTTATTTATTTTTAAGTATTAAATTTTTTAATTGCTTTATCTGGATTTCTAAATGCTTTATTTCCCCAAAAGTCTAATTCAAAACAATTTCCCAAATTAAGTGCTCGAAAAAATATCGTACGTAACTCAAAAGAATAATGAAAAAATATTATACAGCTTAAAAGAATATTTTCTATCATATTAAAACTGAATCACATTTTATTTTAATCTAACTTTAAAATGTGAAAATAAACTATATATCTAAGCATAACTGTTAACTTTGGACAGAAAAGAGTGTCTTAATAAATAAAATAACAGTTTCAGAAAATAAAATTTTCTTGTAGATTATTAAATAAATAAATAAGTTTGGCCACAATATTCTATCAAAATAAAAAATTATAATATCGAAAAATATTAACATAAAATGTTTTTTTTTATAAACTAGCAGGGTCTGCCTCCTGCTCGCTCCAGTTGCCAACCCCCGTGATTGCTTCTCATTCATTTATTTTTAAAAATGTCTTCATTTTTTACTAAGCACATTTTTTTCCTTAAGAAAATGATATTTTCTGCAAAAACAAAGAACATTTTGTTAATTGAATATATAATTATTGTTCTATGTGAGAATGTTTTGTTAATATGTTAATAGTAGCGAAATAAACGATTACTTGCA